CTAACGCACCCTCTAAGTAGGCTGGGCTGTCATTTTGGTGAGTGAAGTTCTGGTATTTTATTGGGCTCTTAGCACTAATTAGAAGATGTCTGTTTCTGTGCCTTGCACCCGTACAGTTTATGTATCCCAAACTAAGATGATGGCAAGCTTGACCCTAGTCCAAAGCTGTCAGGGTTTTCTTTTGTACTGACTGGGAGGTTAGTTTAAGCTGAATGTGCAATAATTTCATTTGATGGATGCATTTTTCATTTGGATCTCTCAACCTTATGTTCACTCCCTAACGTGCCACTCAGTCACCAGACTTTGAGATCTTTTGCACTAGTAGATAATATGTTCTTTTAGCACAATGGGCCACTTTCTCGTGCCATACTCTGGTGAAGAGATGACGCGAGAAGTTGTCTTCTTTATATATGACTCAAATATATTCTTAAAATATATTCTGTGAACGATTTTGAACATAACACCTTCACCGAAAATTTAATACCCATTTATATTTACGATGCTCTTGAATTCCTTTTGTTGTGTTGCTTTTCACTTGACAGTTCATCCAAGTATAAATGTAAAAAGAAATATTTTGGTTTAGTTCAAACAGAATAATTAATGCAGTAATATTAATTGTCTGAAATGCATTTTTTAAAAACCCAAAACAATAAAGGACAAAAACTCAAGTTGAAAATTATTTTTTTTTTATTATCATTCTTTTAAATTAACAAACACTGCTATACATATTGCTGTTTTTTATTAATTTTGAATCATTTTAAACAGTTAAAGCATTTGGAAAAAGAAGTAATAGTAAAACAGAGGACAGAGACAGTAGATGACATGTACAGTAGAAGATCTACAGTCAATGGCTTTCCTATGTGTGTCGAGGGGCTCCAGAATATTTCAACATACAGACATGGTGATGTTTTTGGTTATCATTCCACCTTCTCATGCAGGATAACAACCAGCCACAGTAAATCAACCATTACCGAGCCTTTCCAAACAAGTAGCAGCAGCTTGTATTGAATTGAAAAGTCTGTTTTCTGCAACCAGCGCAACAAAACTCTCCCAACCATATCCCTTATTCTTCTCATAGCAAAAAGGTTTGCAATGGCACCTTCCTTTTACCCCTGACGTTATAGTCATTAGGAATGTCTGAAGTAAACGAAAAAAATAAAAGAAAAAAGTCTCAGATATCG